TGATAAGTTTAATACCTTTTTAGGTAGCAGTCGAATGCGTTTATCGGTCATGTGATAAATTATAAGCTCTGATTATTATTAGCAATAACAATAGCTCGTTACAACGTTATACAGAATCCTCGCGATTCTTGTCCCAATCTCGGGTGCGTGCTGGGACAATAATTTTATATGGAGAAATGCTTCAGACAAAGAAAGTATGCGCTTCACAGGTTCCACGCCCCCCCCCCCGCGCGGTGTTGGGGATAACGCCTGGACAATAATCGTGTAGAACAAGTCAAATGATAATCGAGAGGAGTCTGTAGCATCATTATTAACATAAATCGTAAAATTCTCATTGCTGCGCCTAATGATATTTCCATTGTCACTATTTATTGTAAATTCACCAAGTATTAACATCTTATAATTTAATATAATTATACAAATACGAACAGAGTTTAACACTCGTTCAGTTCAAACTTGGGTGCATGTATGTATGTACGAGTTATCAAATGAATTCTGCGATCCCACATACCTATATCGGTCCAGTACGAGCTAGTTAGATCGGAATAAATAAGAGAAAAAAACCGTCTTACATACATTATTCTATTTCCATGAGGAGAAACGAGACAGAAAGGCTGCAGCAAGCCAATAACTAAGTAGCTCGAGCATGTCGAATGCGGCACGTTGGTAACGCAGACTACAATCGGCGATTAAGTCGCGCGCCGGCTTCAATTCATATACGTACCAACACACGCGTCTTCCGTCCGCCCGTTTATTAAAATCACAGACAGCAGATATAATAGGGAACAGGCCGGTCGGAATAAAATATACTCCGACCCAACGATGCCTAGCCGTTGCTCTTCTCGCAAAACAATGCGATTTCCAGTGATCCTTATCCAACCTGCAATCGGTCACATTCGAGGTTATCTAACGATAACGTGAAATCGAATCTCGATACATCGATCGATACGACGAGGTCGCGATAAATTACTCAGAGCCTGTACAATCTCCTCAAGAATCTGAGCGACGACCATAGACATGGGAATATAGATTACGCGTCAGATTGGGCCGGCGTCCCAACTTTAGAAAGAGACGGGTTATTTTCTGAGGACTTGGTATCTCTTACCCCCCACTACTTAGATTTAAAAACAGACGCTAACTCCTCCGAAAGCTATCTACCTTTTTCACAACTTAGGGCGACTGTTTGAGGGAGATGATGCTCTATACAGGTGTAACAAAGATGTTGGAGGACCCGGGAATGGGAGACTCGTGAGGTGATTTGAAACAAGTTTTTCCTTAACAAAAATGTTATTCGAGGCTTTGTTAACGAGATATTAACGAAAAACCCCAACCAATCAGAGCGCGAGTCTGCCAGCAGAGTTCCCGCGGTAACGTTAACTACCAATCGCAGCGCGTAGCCAACGTTACCGCGGGAACTCTGCTGGCAGACTCGCGCTATGATTGGTCGGGGTTTTTCGTTAATATCTCATAAACGAAGCCACGAATTGGTCGGGGTTTTTCGTTAATATCTCATAAACGAAGCCACGAATAACATTTTTGCTAAGGGAAAACTTGTTTCAAATTACCTCACGAGTCTCCTAGTTTCGGGTCCTCCAACATCTTTGTTACACCCTGTATATCTATATCCCTATGGCAACGACACACATACACGCGCGCGTAATACAAAATATGAACCGTTCAATTTTCGTTTCTCTAATGGTTTCTCCTCTATTCGCCAACTCCCCGGCCGTCAATCACAACTCGTTGGTCCAATTCGCTAATGCAGAACGTTAATTGTCCAGTTAAAGTAGTTAGTCGAATTAACGGATCGACGAACTTTCCCGATCGACAGATCACGTTGCGACGCGACAATAGATGCCGTGTCTTCCATGGGAGCCCTAGAGAAACTTTTGAATGAAACGACGACGCCGCGGTTTGATCGACGAGAAGATCTTCTCGACCGTACAGATGGCTGTTTTTTTTTTTTTTTGAATGTGAAGTTGTCAGATAAACATTATCTCATCGATTAACCCGAATTTTGTTGAGCATTATATCTGAAACGAAAGTTCACGTCTATATGTTTTTGTAATAATTGGCGCAAAGTATTGAGATAGAAAGATGTACAGTTATTCGCAGAAGTATTTGCTCACCCCATACGTGCAACGTATTTCACATATTTATCTATATGTACATTAGTGGTGGCAAAACCTTGTCAGGATAGGAGCCATATAGTAGACTCGCGTTAAAGTAGCGGTAGGAACGCCTCAGCTCACACGCATTATTTACACACACGTGTGCGCACCCCACTCATTGGCGTAACTAGGTAGGGGCCAGCGTTGGTTTGCCCCCCCCCTTCCAAGAAATTATTGAAATATGTAAAAAAAAACATTCGTCAGTTGATAAAATCTTATGTTATACAAAATAAATACTTGGGCCGAAGTACAATACGAAATGCAACTAAGTACAAAAAATACAATACTATCCTTATTACGTTAAAGTATTAAGTAAAATTGTATTAGAATTAAGCTGTATAATTTTTACATTCTACTTAACTAATAATCCTGCAACATCAATTGAAGAGTGGGATGCAATTACGAGAACTAACGCTGGAGAATGTGAAAAAAAACAGCAAATTGAAGCTTATATATGATACACTTTAATTATTGGTACCCGTACATAATATACTCTTGATTTGAATCAATCTCAAATTTCTTTTATTTTTAAGAATTATATTTATATTCTTCTATTCTTAGTTTTACTGTTAAATAAACATGTAAATAATTATTGAAAAATGTGTAACTTTATTTTGTGCAACCCACGTACGTGGTATAAAATACATACAGGTGCCTGGAGGGGAGTGTTATGGGAGAAAGTCAGGGGACTTGGCTCCCCCCAGAAAAAAATGGTAGTTACGCCAATACCCGTAAACTAAACTGACACAATACGATGTTTAAAGGGACAGAAGACCTAGCAAGGTGCATTAACTTTCCTTACTTTTCAGTATCTAAAGTATGATACATCGATACTAATAATCTACAGCCATAGGGTTACACGCAATGATAATACATATATTTACTCACCAATTTGATGTTTAATGCTTTCCTAATCAGCTATAATATATATCCCCTGCTACGATTTAATTTTTGTCGGCTGCATCGATGGCGCTGAGCATTTGACGCACATTTATAAACATGTCATTATTGTTTCTTCTATGACGCTCAATTATGCACAACTGTTCGTTACAAATTATAAACAAAGTCACTGGTTACACTAATAATAAGACACTATGAAATAACACTAATAACAAAACATCACTACCCTACATTTCATATGATATTAGTGTTTCGATATAAAAAAAAGTTAAATATTTCTTTATATGATATATAAAGTTCCGAGTGCATCTCGAAGGAAATTTACAGTCACTTGGAAATGTTTTCGCTCTCGTGGCTAAAACAATTCAGACCCTTCGGAGCTCTTCGAAGCCAGGTAGAAATTTTGCGTATCCTTTTTTTAAGGCTCTCCCTTTGAGGACAGGAAGGGACAATAGAGAAAGTAACCGTGATTCTAACCCAATGTTTTCACTTACTTAAGCCCAGATGTCAGAAGGGCATTGCTCTTCTCTATTATCCATTCCTATCGTTAGAATGTATTCGTAAATCTGGATGAATACTGACAAAGGAAATCTATGATCGAACGTTTTTTTTAACGACACTTATTGTTAGCGTAACATAATAAAGAACATTGTTACATATTTCGGGCTATGAGCAATTTCGATACAAAAATTTATTTGTATCGAAAAATAAACTAAATATTATTTTGTAATTTATACCTAAATTAAAAAGCTGTATTTACTATGTATGTTCACATAATTACCTACGAAAATGTTATGCACCTTCATTGGTTAGCTGCTGTTTGAAGACAAATAAACGTGTCTGACATTTGCTGTGACAAAAAGATGTATTATATATTTCGAAGATGCTGTACAACAAGCAAACTCTGGACAGGTTTCTGCCATTAACATGAAATATTAACATTTTCATAGCTGGGTTGATTTTACATCCAATTAGAAGTGAAATAATATTAATCCTTATGTACGAAACCAATATATTCACGGTTATTGAGCAATCGGAATACTTCGATTCTGACAGAGTAGATAACATAGATAATTTTACTTTCCTAGCTTTCCGAAACTCTTAGTTTTCCCTTTCAATAATATGCCAAGTGCAGTTTTAGAGGAGAACATATAAAATTGTGAAGGAAATTTAGAAATTGGTGCTTGGGTACGCGGTGGCTTACACGAGGGTTAAACCCATGGACGTAGGCAGGTTATCAGCCAGAGGGGGGCAAAAATAGTAACACATCGACTGCCACAGTGACAAAGGCTGTACGTAAAGTATATACGTTTGGTTAATAGAGGCTATTGGTCGTGTTTCGAATTATACTCTAATATGAAATATTACGCAAAAATTTTATAACTCTGTGAAGGGAGGGGGGGGGGCAAAATCCAATTTTTTCTTGTAGGATGGGGCAAAAATCACTTTTTTCCGACAAGTGATCCCCCCTGGCTACACTCATGTGTATGTATACCAGAGGCATTCAATTCTTTTACATAACACACCGTCAATTAAGTTCTACTTCCCTTCCGTCTCTCCCTACGAATTCAAATTTTCTTTTCACAATAACCAATTTCTCCGCGGACGGACGACGAGCACGTGAGCGTGCGCTCGAGGAAAGCACGCGGGGGTGTGTTGGTGAAATGACAAAGCGACATCACCGCCTGTCCGCTCGCCAGCCGGCCGGCCGGTTAACGATAATCCGTTCGACACTTTGTCCTGCCCGATCGTAGATTGTCCAGCGCTGGTATGTCTGTGTGATTGCACGCACACGTACTTAAAGTGCCCTCCCCCCCCTTCCGACTGGTAGCCACTCCTGCGATCTTATAAAAGCTGGCTGGTGCCGCTGGCATCTCATTGCTAGCAGGCGTGCATCTACTACGTGTCCTCTCTCGTGTGCATCCCCGTTTTATCGACCGACTAAAAATGGTGCAGATCGCCGGAAAATACCAATACATCTCTAACGAGAACTTCGAGGAGTTCGTGAACGCGATGGGACAGAAGGAAATGGCGGCGCCGTTCCTGGTCTCCAAGCCGGTCGTCGAGATCAGCCAAAATGGCGACCAGTGGACCGTGGTCATCTCCTCGGACGAGAAAAGCAGCTCGACCACCTTCAAGCTGAACGAACCCTACGAGGAGTGCCTGCCCTCGTTCGACCGCAAATTCCCGGTTAGTCACGGAATAATATTATATCTGGACCTCAGAGTGTATTAACCCCTTGTCCTATAACATCGAGGTAGACTCGTGTTGACGATTTCAGAATCGATTCAACAGGGAAGAATATTAATCGGGGTTCTTTAAGTCGAAGCGAAATACCACGTTGCTGGCATTAATATTTAAGTTTTACAGTAAAATTTCCTTTCGTTTCTGGGGAACTATCGACAAGAATGTAATCCTGGAGTCTGCAGAGGTCAAGAAAATCGTAGGGCAAGGGGTTAACCCTCGTGTAGGCGACTGGGTATACATTTCTAAGTTTGCTTTAAAAATTTGTTATATTCTTGTCTAAAACAGTACTTGGTATATTACAGGAAGGGGAAACTAAGAGTTTCGGAAAAGTATAAAAGTTAAATTAATGTTTATCTAATCTGTCACAATAGTAGTATTCCGATTGCTCAATAACCGTGAATATTTTGGTTGCCCCTACAAGGGTTAAGTCATATTTGTCAATACTTAGAGTAGAATTGAGTAGTAAGAATTGAGCGAGAAACAATCGCTACCTTCGAACTATTGAATGGGTTTAAGACAAGTTTCTATACAGTAGACTCGCGTTAATATAGCGGTAGGAACACATGTGCGCACACCCCACTGTCGGTCGTCATCTGTAACCAAAGTTCTGATCCAATTGGTGGATCGACCGAACTGCCTCGAAATCCTGCGTGCCGATTGCCTCACGTTAAAATAGCGTTTCCAGGCAAAATCCGCCTCGAGAGCCCCGCAACGCTACTTTAACGCGAGTCTACAGTATATAGATTTGGTAGACTTTGCATTAATTCCTTTTACGCTGTTTTAAAACTATGAACATAAAATCATTTTTAGACTATTATGTATGCCTATATGAAAAAGTAGATGACTTGGAACGAAGTAATTTTTACCATCGGAGAGAGTGAAATATTTGATACAGAAAGCATGTAAAATATCATTTTTTTTAACTGTGGACCTAATACACTCTGGCTCTGGAGTCCAGATATACTCTTGAGCTTTTTCAGTTTTTATTAACCTGCAGAGGACGGAAAGTCTATTTTTAAGGTACAGAGGGATTGCTTGTGTTTTAATGAATGTATAAAAATTCTAACTCGAAAATATAAAAACTCAGGATAAAGCCTGCCCGTCCTCTAAAGGTTAAGGTTCAGAGTAGTCCAGAACTTTGAATGGTTTTCCTAATTTCTACATTGTTCTTAGACAGCGAAAGAACAAGAACATATTTTTAATGTAAAATATATGATGGAACAGTTAAAAGTAATATTGGAATACTTATTAATTCATCTAATGTTACTAGAAAAATATATATCTCTGTTTATTTGGAAAACAGAATGAGGTGCTCTCAAATAATGGTTGCAGGAAGTGTTCAATCATTCTCAACCACTCCTGTCTTTATCTCTTTCATTTTATTATGTCTATAATTTTCATGTTCCTGTCAAGGCCATATTATTTTATATTTGGTAAACAGACGATACACTTTTTTTTATTGATATTTTTTTATGGAATATAATTCTCCTATTCTATTGTACTTATGTGTAACGTATACGTAAATAATTGAGAGTCACCATGTTAGCATGTTTGATTGAATACTTACCGCCAAAGATGGTACATGATCCGTGTTGGTATTTCAATTGAACTTTCATTTGTATTGTAAAAGAATTTTTCTCATTAAAAATATATATACACAGAAATTTGTAACGCAAATGTAGTATGCAACTTCTAGTGTAGCGATCAATAATGGCGGATATACCTTTATTCTCTCTTTATGGATTGCAAATTATGTGTTTCAAATTATAATCTCTATTTGTAGCTAATCAAAGTTTTTATAATTTACAAACTAAATTTGATATTTTACTACAAACTTAAAAGTAATTCTTCCAAAGATATTTTCTTGTAGTACATATTCGAAATATTGGACTCGGGGGAGCTCGCCTGTAATAGTAAATGGATTGGCAATTGATGTCAGTTTGTTTGCAATATGTTGTAATTTAGATAACATCTAATCGTACAGTGAATGATAATACTGATCTATATTACGACAGATAACGAAATTTCGATAAAATTAGAAACATCGATCGTACCTGATAATGGGTCCAATATTTCGTTTTCTTTGGTATTTCAATTACACGAGTCGAACAAACGTCACGAAGTAATACTTATGACTAAATTTACAACATTGAGTAAATTTCAGAAATACAGAAAATACTAAAGTAACGTATGTAAGAAGGTTCGAAGTCTTTAACATAAATCATAATAGGAAAAGAGAAAAAAAACATTAGAAATGATGCAATCGGCAATATCACAATTGGACATGTTCTTTTTTTTACAATAGAACTTGTACGTACAATCCCAGTCAGCCAACCTGCAAAATCAAATTTTGTCCAAATCCTGTTATAAAGTTAAGGACTACAAGTTTGATGCAAGATTTGCTGTAATCTTGCGCGCACACTGGCAGTAAATAGGCAGCAAATTGACAGCAACATATGCAGCAAATTGTGCATACCTTGTTACGGTTTTGCCCTCAGTTTGACATAGGTTATGTTGCACGACTTTCTGCCAATTTCCTTTATCATTTTGTCAGCTGGTTGTTTAGACAACTTTTGTCATTTATTGCTGGCAATTTGCTCGAAACTTATACACAACTGGTTATCAGGCTAAGTAATGTAGTGGGTGTTTATCTTATTGTCTCAACGAGAAGATTATAAATTAAATTGTCTGTTTCAAAAACGAATCGCAACGTTAAAGGAATTAGGTCCTATTTCCAAAACATACGTTTTTTAAAGAATTTTTAATCACTGCAAGTGTCACCATATGCTTTGAAACATTTACTATTTTTTTGAAATTGAATTTAACTGTTGAAACGGAAGTAACGTGATAATTGGGAAAAGGGTCATTTTGAATATGATTAGAACTAGACCCTAAGTCTGTGATATTAAAAAATAAGCTTCACTGACAGACATAATATTTGTTTGCATCATCACACTTGTACGGAAGATACTACGATCTTTTTAATTGATGAAATATGCATTATTAGTCAATTTTATCAATGGAAAAGTATGGTCTTCTTCGTATATAATCGTTCGTTGAGAAAATCGAACTATCTTGAATTCTGGAATGTAACTTAATGAATTTTATGACTCTATAATCTATACATATTTCTGAGTTCGAGAATTCATTTTTAACGTATCAGAATTAATTCCTTTTTCGTTAACGATCTTTTAAGCCAACACCCTTAAAATTAGTGTGATTTTTTACTACTGATGTAACAGATACAATAACTATATTAACAATTAAAACTAACAGAAGCAACACTATTATAATTTTACTGCAGTAATTAAGTAGTCAGAGTTATATTTTTTGTGTAACAATAATTTTTATTCCTCGATATACTTAGTAAAGTAAATCTGCGTTTCTTAAATTTATTAAAGATAATTTTGAATTTACCCTTCACGAGCTTATATAAACAAAGTCAGAAATTTGTCATTATGTCGGCAAAAACTGTCAAAACAAATTTACAGAATAAGTCGTTACGCATATTCTTACCTTGATCATGCGTAATATAAATAAATTAGAACCCAAATTTTTTATTAGTCAAGTGATTAAAACCTTCTCTTTCCGTTGACAATGTAATCTGTTGTACCGGTAAAGATAAAGAATTTGGCGAAAAAAACTGATTTTGTTCCTTTTGTTTGCAGTCCATCACGACACAAGACAGCGACAATCTCAGAACAGTAACAACGCTGTCCGACAGTATCAAGATCACTCGTCTCTACAAATTCACAGAAACCGGAATGAGTGTGGTGAGTAAAAAATCATTTAAGCCTTGATAAAATAAATGAAACTGTAATCTATGCGATAAAATGTTAAGATTGATAAAGCGGAAATTGCATTTCAATAAATTGCACAATGATCACGACGTACAGATTAAAAACATTTAATTGTGATTTCATTGATCTCTTAAGATACCAAATTAAATTTTCCAATAATAAAATATAATTTAAACGTAACATAATAGTCCCTTGATTTGAAATATTCGTAAAAAAACATGCGTTTGAGAATCGCGGATGACAATTTTTTTTAATTTATTAATATTTCATTTTCAGCAAATCTCAGCCTCCACGATCGATGTCACGGCAGTACGTACATACAAGAGGCTCTAAACAGCAAACAAAATTTAGATAAACAAATACATCGCTCTTTTATATGAATTAAAAATAAACTTTTTTTTTATATCGCTACCTTCCCTTTTTCTCATCGCCCATCACGATTATGCTTTTTACAAAAGCTGAACGAAACACACGGTTGGAAATAAACAAAAAAATAAAATAAAACGAGAGCAAAACCATCGTACTTAGTTTATATGTTTAATCGCCAAATAAATACATAAGAATATATGTTCTGGAGAACAAATTTTGAAAACATAAATTGTTTATTCAGAGTATCATGAAAAACAATGGTTTTTCGTCGAACTATTTAAAACACGTATTTATACGCGTAAGTATACAGACCCGATAATTTACAAAAGAAAAAAAAGGGAGAAGGATTACAGATTCCACGCATCCAAACAGTTAAAGTTAAAATAAAAAATTAAACTGTGAAAAGCAGCTAATTCTTGCGCAGCAATATTTTTCGATAGTTAAACTCCCTCAGTTCTACCATAAATTCTTTAAAAACATTCTTTACTTCTTTATTCGTATTATTTAGTGGCTGTAAAGAATATGCTCGCTGTATAATCAGTCACATCCTTAAAAGTGGCAACTAAATGGTCCTATTGGGAGGGGGTTCAATCTACTAGATTTCTTTTATGGAATCCTTGATCCTAAGGGCTGATTTCTCTTCGTCGACGCTCGTGATCCCCTGGACACTCGATTCAGCGAGGCCCGTTGCGTGTACGTACAAATTGTTCGTTCGTTTCGTATTTGTTCGAATTTATTTAATAATATGTATCACATGAACCCATAAAAGTGCTGTACATAAATTGATAGAGAATACATAAGAATGGTATTTAATGAATGACAAATGTATAATATTCTCTCGCAGTATAGTCAACTTCGGAATAGGAACAAACAAAAAGAAATAAATATATGGTGTACCTGTCGTTCGCCGTGTGTGTCGGTGTATGTCTGTATGTGTGTGTTTAGTGTTAGTGTAAAACGTGTAAATTCGTAAGTAGACACGTATGTCCGTGAATGTAACGTGTGTAGATAAGTTCTTTTCCATAAAAGTTACGACGATTAATCATTTATCAAGTATAATGGACATATAAAATTAAAAAGTATAAAAAGACCGTCCAGCTTCGTGTTTTACATTAAGAATATGTTTAAGAAACCGGCTCGTGCGGTCAAGCGTGACGCGTAACGCTTCCATCGGATCTCAAGTTTCACATCTCTCAACGACATTCCGTAAGGGGGGGGGGGGCTTTGCTCGTTGGTTCCGCCTCTGTCCTCTTTGTGTACGCGTGTGTTTTGTTTGTTTTTTTTTACAGGCCAGTTCAAGCACCACGTGGACATTCTTTTTCTGGTAATATCTCGGAGACCGCTTGGAAACGCGTTCAATTTATTTACAAAAACAACCGATATCCCTTTCCGCATTATTTTCTTCTCCTCTTGTTCTTATCATCATCCTCTTCCAGCGAGACACCATTTTTCTTTTCTCTTTATCCAGCACGACCGAAGCAGTCAGAAACAATAGTATATACCTTTTTTCTTTTTTTTTCCTTTTCTTTTTTTTTTTTTGTCGTTAAAGGGTATACTCTCTTATTCTCTTTCGCACACGCACGCATACCACACTCTCTCAATACCGTTCACACGATCCTTTCACTCTTCGCCAATACGGATAAACGGACTCGTTATTTCATCGGTACATATACACATTAATATATTATCTTTTATACTTTACGCTAGTTATTAGTAAAAATTTCTTCCGGTTCGTTATATACTCCCTAATAAACTACTTCAGCGGATGTTATAGCCCTTTCTTCGTGAAGAAAGAACAACACTCTAAAAATCGAACCCGGCTCTGTCGCCCATCGTGTGATTCAATCGGAGCTCATGATCAGCTGATTGTCGTTCGGCGTGACCACCGGTGATAGGTCTTTCTTCGGTACATCGTCGATGATTGCGTTTATTTCGATTTTCTCGGACACTCCGTTCTGCAGAACCTTTCCTTTCTCGGTTTTACCGTCGATTGTAACTCTGTTGGTCACTTTCGGCACTGCAGTGCTGGCCTTCTTGATGGGCGACGGCGTTGTGGTAGTCTTCGTCGTTGATGATACGCGTTTCACCGTGGTGTTTGTATTGGGACTGGAAGGGAACTGACGAGTCGTCGTCTTGGTGGTGCTGGTTCGTGCCATGGAAATCTGTTTGTTCGCTGTTTCCTTGACTTGTTTATCGATGATAGGAGGTTTGCCTGTTGACGGTCGGGACTTGGTCGCGTTTCCAGCGGCTGGGGTTGTCTTGGGTCTCGTGCTGGCTGCGGTCGTAGTGGTGCTGGTTGCGGTCGTAGTGGTGCTGGTTCTTGTGGTTGTGCTGGGTTTGGTGGTCGTCGTAGCAGACGCAGATCTCGTCTTCGTTGTCGACGTCAGGGATGATACGCGTGTTGTCGAGGTTCTCGTTAGCGAGGTGGTCTTGGCCGTCGGTGCTGTCTTGGTGACAGTAGGCTTGGCTGCTGCGGTTAGTTTGCTTGGCGGCTTTACGTCGCCATTCGCTGTGGGCTTCTTGTCGCTAGGAGCCAGTTTCGAAGCAGTCGTGGCGGGTTTTGGTTTCGCGGCAGTGGTAGAGCTCACCCTGATCGCGGATTTTGCTGTGGAGGTTGTGCTGGTCGTTTTTGTAGAAGGCTTGGCCGCCACCACTTTGTTGGTCAATGTGCTTGAGGATATAACCTTCTTCGGAGCGTCCAAGTCCTTTGGACGAGCTGTTGGAGTTGTCGCTGGTTTTTTCGCTGTCCCGGCTGATGTCCGCGTTGTAGAAGTTACTGTCTTGGAAGGAGATGTTGGCGTTGATTTCTGCGCAGTCTTCGTACCTGCGGTTTTCGTTGCTTTTGTAGCAGGCTTTGCTTTTCCTTTACTCTGGACCGTCGTAGCTACTGCAACAGCAGCGGCTGCTGCTGCAACTGTTATCGCGGCAGTTTCTGTGATTTTACTTTCGGAAATCTGAGGTGCACTTTCTACGTCAGGTTTTTTCACTTCTGGAAGAGTTACCTCAACTTTTTCCTCCTGCTGCGCTTTACATTCCTGTTCGACAGCTGGTTCTGACGGTTTCTCTGGTTCCAAAGGTTTTTCCGGTTCCAACGGTTTCTCTGGTTCTAATGGTTTCTCTGGTCCCTCGGTTTCCATTATTTCTTTTATTTCCTGTTTTTCCAGAATTTCTTCTTGGAGTTTCGGAACAAAGTCGGATACCGGAACATCCTCCGATTTCGGTTGCAATTGACACTCCAGGCCCGTAAATTCCTGCATAGATTCAGATAAACACAAAACAGTTTCTTTCACTGGTTCTTCTACTACTTCAAGCGACTTAGCATCGTTGATTTCGACCTCCATAGGAGTTTCTTTTGATTCAATAACTTTCTCGGCTTCTGGTTCGGGAATAGACTTAATAGGACAAAGGAGATCGTCAACTTCTAGTACAACTTTTTCAGTAACATCCCGCGGGGAAGGTGGTGGTGTTGGTTCAGCGTCGATATGACTTTTAATAGGAATTTCCTGGTCTTCGCCGAAGACCAGGAACTTCTCTTGCAACGTTTCTGGGCATACCGATTCGGAAAGTTTCTCGTCAACAGGCTGCTTATCTAGATTCAAATGTTGTTCAATCGGTTCAGACAAATCTGTAGTTTCCGCAGGATGGGATTCGCAAACGTCATTGGCTTTCATTGTGGTGAATTCGCAAACATCACTGGCTTTCATTGTGGTGAATTCGCAAACATCATTGGCTTTCATTGTAGTGAATTCGCAAACATCGTTCGCTTTCTTTGTGGTGAATTCGCAAACATCATTGGCTTTCATTGTGGTGAATTCGCAAACATCGTTCGCTTTCTTTGTGGTGAATTCGCAAACATCATTGGCTTTCATTGTGGTGAATTCGAAAACATCATTCGCTTTCTTTGTGGTGAATTCGCAAACATCATTCACTTCCATCGGCGACAAGTCGCAAACATTATTAATCGCCATGAGAGACGATGTGGAAATATCATTTGTTTCTACTGGAACTGATTCGGAAACGTCGACTATTTTCGTGGGATAGGATGGACAACTGTCGATTGCTTCTGCGGGCGAAGACAAACATACGTCAGCCGATTGTGCCGAAGGAGATAAGCAGACGTCGCCCTCTTTTGCAGAAAGCAATTGGCCAACGTCATCAGTTTTCGTGGAATGCGATTCGAAATTAAAATGTCCAGGTGTGAATTCCGGAGCATCGGCATGCAGTGAAAACTGATGCATAGAAGAGACAGTTGGACTCTGTGTTCGCGCTACAGGGTCACTCTCTATCGCGTCAGGAATAGGTGATAACGAGAAAGGTGTGTCTGCATCATTTGCACGGGTTTCCTTTGGGAAATCAATTCCTGATAGAACTGCTTCCTCACTGGTTTCATCTATGGGTTTTGTCTTGTCGATGTCGGCGCTAGACGGTGACAGGGGTTGCTGGATGTCGACGAAGACTGCTTCCTTTTCAAACTCGAACTCTGCAGAATAATTCTCCGTCAGTGGAGAATGCTCGGATCTCATGGTTTCTTTTAGTTCCATTTGGGAAGACTCCGACTGCATGTTCAGAAAGTCGATGGGAGATTTTGTTTCATCCGCATGTTCGATGAAAGTGGCTTCGCTGTCATCTTGTTGCGAAGACAGGTTCACGAGTTCTGCGGGCTCTCCGGGGAAGACTTGCGTGTGTGCCGGTTGTTCAGCTTCAGGGGAAATCAAGGTGGTGAGTTCAAGTTGCAACTCTGGCGATTCTGCCCTTAGGTCTTGTAGTACTTCTTCCACCTCCATGATACCGTTCTGGTCGTCTAAATCGGTGTTACTAAGATCGTGAACGGCGTTCAAGTCGACACCTTTGTCAAATGCCGCTTCAAACTCACTGGGTGTAAAAGACATAGCCATAGGGTCTTTGGCGATATCATAATCGCGTTCAGAACTCGAAAACGATTCGTCAACCGTTGAGATACCGGTTCTATGGAATTCGGTGGCGGTTGCGAAACTGGCCGACGATTCGTCGCCGAATTCGGCCTTTGTTGATGAGATCTCGGAATCGTCCAGATTTCCGGGGAAACCAATGGTTTTCTGTCGGTCAGCCATCAAGTCCGTATCATCGATACGATGCAACTCCACTCCGTTTTCATATTCTTTGTCCTCGGATTCGACTTCTCTCGGTCGCTGACAAACTTCCTCATCGAATTCCCTTTGACTGGGCACTTGAACATCATCCATGTGTGCAACCTGTTTCAAAGGCGAACCAGAGATAGGATAATCTTCCACGAAATTGTTCATTCTGTTTCCCACAAACTGAGGCGAGACTGGAACAAATTCTTCAGCATCCGGATTTAGTTGAGATTCCATGTCTTTTGATTGCTCTTGTTCTTCTGCGAAAGCTTTCTCTTGTTGATCGTCTTTTTTCTCTGCGCTAATCTGCACACAGAAATCAAATTTTCGTGAAAAAAGTGCTATGGCAAATCTGAACCTCAGTGCCAAACTGTATTAAGTCTACTTTTTTTTTAAATGATATTTCACATATTACCCGTATCAAATTCTTCATTCTTACCAATGGTAAGAATTGTTTCATTCAAAGTCAGTTAGTTTTCAATATAATGGTATAAGAATGCTATTATGTCCATATTTTGTTCTGAGTGTAAAAATAATGTCAAGTCCTTCACATAGATAGACTTAATGCAATGTTCACCAATTTTACAGATCCAGACTTGTCTTAAATCCATTCAATAGTTCGAAAGTTTGTTTCTTGTTGAATTCTTACCGAAGAATTCCTAACCTACAACGTTTTTACACCTTTGATTTGCTCTCCTCTAAAGTTTGGTAAGTATGACTTAATATATTCTGACTCTGGGGTCCAGAAATATTGTAATAAAGAACAGAGTTTAAGAGGTTGACCAAGCTATTTTTCTACTAATTTAGAAACATGTAATTAATTGCACTTAATGAAATACAAAAGGCTTCGACAAACACCAATGAAGAGCCTTATATTTTAGTTCTGTTCCTTTTAAAAAAATATTTAGGTCCGAGTCATTAAAAAAATGAAATTCCGCACTACACGTACGAGTATTTCACGGTCCTTTCATACTTGTACTCTGGACAATATATCTTTATATTTACACGTGTTTTCTATTTCAACGCTGTGCAGTAATGTCATGATGTAACAACGATATCAAACTTGTTATTAAAGAATCAAACACTTTTTGGTATTTCTGGACGATGAATATTTTTAAAGTGCTTAACATCAATCAGTATGAAAACTTACAGGTCCATGAAACAGTCATAAAATACTGAATACATACTTTCTTTAGTATGATAATTCAAGTTTAATTTTGGTTCAACAAAGCCTGCATCATATTGATGCACTTTTTGTAATACTTAATTGTAATGTGATTTCACACAATTACAATTAACTAGAATAATTATTACAGAAATATGGGAGAAACATTATTAACAATGATATCCAGGATGTCTCACCAACTCTACCCACGTGAAATATCTCCATTACTTCAAGTAACAGGCGGAAAGATTATTTACAAAAATTGAATGATTATAAGAAAGACATAACATGATGGCAGTAGTTTCTTTTTTTAGATGAACGCGTAGAGGAAATCTGGAGGTCACTTATTTTTGTAAATGGAATGTCAGATTTTTTTAGCATAGCTCTGAGTATATTTTATAATGAAAATAATAAGGATGGACAAACTTGAATACCTTACTATTTCTATACCTAGAATTCGTTATTCTATCGAATTTTGCCATAAAAAATTAGACATTCCATTAAAAAACAAGAAAAACAAAACTGACATGCAGATCTTCTTTACACCTGCAAAGAAGCTATTGCCACCATGTTATATCTTTCTTGTAACTATACAAAAATTTTGTAATATTTGCGCCTGTTACTTGAAATAATCTACTACTGTTATCTAGAAACAAATATTCAGTTAAACTATTTAACATGATGTCTGCAGGAATTATTTACATATTAAAAATAGAATATAATGTATGAATATGAAAGAAACAGAGCAGAAGAGTTGATGACAATATTTGAGGAAAACGTTATAAAATTAATGAAGCTTCTCTTCAAATACAGAATAATGTTTACTGAAACTTACAAATTACAGAAAGCTATGCAACATTGCTTCAGCAATTATACAAACCATTTTTTCAGACCAAAAACTTTCGATAACTTTCTTTAACTTTTGTAAATTCTTAAATACTTCCTCCTCCAATCACTACTTCAAGTACTTACTCCATTTTCTTTTTTTTTTAATTAAACAATTTCATTAAAAATACCTCCCTCTTCGACTGACTGTTTCTTTCTTTAGCAATGAAAACCTTCTATATCCAATACACAAATAATCTTCACTTGCAGACATTCCGTACGTTCATTAATAAAATATTTTTTCCCACAGGTAATAATACGTAATAATCCCTTCATTGGTGTTCGTGCATTAATTTATAATATCCATTTCGTTTCAGACCTGCAAAACGACATATATTTTAGGATACCACAATCGACAATTTTCTGAAATAAAAAAATAAAACGAAAATTATGGCGTCGCTTATGTACCTCTGGGTTAATAAGCTCAAACGACTCTTCCTTCAAACTTTCGCATTTAATATCCTCCTGTACGTTCTCGGACTGGATATTTGATTCGTTATCTTCGACAGGAACCACCTCTGGACTTGCAGTTTCCTCGTTGTTCTTAGCTTCCTGCGTCTCGCTAACGGGCGTTACTGAGTCCTTTTCTTTGTTCGGATCAACGCGGTAGTAATTCCACTCGTCTTCCGAATCCTCGCTGTCCGCTACATTATCCGCTTCAGGGATCAGTGCATGCTGAAGAGGTTCTGCAAAACGTTAACAGAACTGAATTAATTGAATTCGATCGTTGATCGAAGGTGCGATTGAACATGAAGAATGATACAACACGAATAAGAAATACAAATACGATTTAACAAATTAACACTGGAACTACCAATTCCACAAAATGACGGACTGCAGATTGCTTAGCTTAGCATTACTGGAATTTTAATAATGCGTTTTGCGGAATTTATGTAGGCTTTTATTTTACCATACATTTTATTTTATATGCATACTATATTGTGATAAATTGTGCGATGTGATATGTATAATACTATATTATAGAATTTAATTTAGTATACGTTGTGGGAGGTAAATATGGGTATTACGATGATGAAATTAAGGGCTTTAAATGAGTACAAAAAAAAAATAAGAAAAACTGAAATGGGAATGACGAGTTGACTCGTCTTCTTTGGTTAATAAATTGAAGGAATTGTTACTCCTATTAATTATGTATTATACCATGTGATTCGCTTATTTCTGGAATTTAAAATATTAGGTTTGATGTTTTTTTTTAATCAACAGTGAATTCAGAATAAACTTTCTTCATAATCAGAGAAACAATATCAACATCGTTATAAAATTTATTCTATCTGATCTCCACATAGTGATTTGATTGTTCATTTGTTTCGACGTTGCAATGTTACAGGGTTAAATATAGTTACCGGGGACTTCGCAATTTCTGCCTTTTTTCATTTTCCAAATGAACAGTATTAAAAGTTTTACCAAATTCTATCGTATGATCTACACCTTTTTTCCCCATGCAATTACTACTTTAATTTTCATCAAATTTTTTTATGAACAGAAAAGCAATATCAAACTGGCAACCAAGTAGCTAACTGCAATTGACACATTTATCTATATCGATGCTGAAGATTCAATCAATGGAATAGACAAACTTGTACGTAATAATAAAGAGCTAGAAAATTAATTAGCATTTCGTAAAGCTTCTATTTTAGTGTTTTTCATTATCGTGTTTGCTGTAAAATGCATACGAGTAAAATTTCATCACCAATCGCAGTGCGTAGCCAACGCTACCGTGAGAATTGGGTCAGCAGCCTCGCGCTCCGATTGGTCGGGGTTTTTCGTTAATATCTCGTTAACAAAGTCTCGGATAACATTTTTGTTAAGGAAAAAGTTGTTTCAAATCATCTCAGGAACCCCTCATTTCCGGGAGTCCAAACTATTTTCGGACACCCTGGATAGTAAGAACAGATAATAAAGATATGCATATCCAACGTAAACAGCAAATAAATTCAAAATTCTGAGTCGCCCCTATATTTTACGATCGATACTTGTACATGTGGGTGCAACCCTCATCCGTCCCCCATTTTTCCAACTTAATTTGTCCCTCGGTGTCGAACTGACACAGTGGTAAAAAATCGATATAACGGAGTGATAAACAGTTAAATATAAAAATTCTTGAAAACAAATGTCACGCAGCTTTACCTAAATTTACCTACACACAACAAAATAATATTGTTTCTTAGAAGCTCCAAAGCAAATACTAATCACGTGAAGAATCATTTGATGATTTACGGGTAAAACTATTACACAACGGTATTACCATACGCAGGTAATTTGAAAAATTAGGGTTTGTGTAACAGTTTATCTTTGCTAATATTGTTTCCAAGCTCATCTAACTTCTTCGTACAGATACTAAACGAAATTTGCATTAACTATTAAAATAATGTCTATCAATCAAGAATACAGGGGAAACGGAGATAAGTTTCTACTTAATGTTATTTTCGGTAAAAGGAACTTTAAACTGAAATATTTTGCAATTTTTGTCTGTTGAAACTATACTAGTACAGTGATTCCTCGATAAATGTGACACGAGCAACAGCGTTATTCCCACCACTGGGGGAGTTCCTGTTGGGAACCAATCAAAACGGAGTAAACAAAAGCTAAGCAGAGACTCGGCAGTTATTCGATTACAGAAGTACATTACGTAATAGCTGCAGCAACTGCATGCACGAGAGTCTTTCTTCCATTTCCGTAGGTCTGTACTAGGGTGAATGTCCCAGTTACTGTCAGTGTCCCTAATACTGCCATTTTATTTATTTTACTTAGTAAAGACGTAACGCATAAGGAATTGTGTACAGAAAATTTTATTATTAAGTTGGGACTCTGATTTACATAAAAACAAAGAAATATATGCAGTTGTATGTATCTGTTATGTAAAAATTAATGTTGAGAAATAAAAGTGCAATTTGAGCGTAAAAAATGCGAGAACTGATGGCGAAATTATACTAAAGAAAGTGCCGTAATTTTACCATTCAACTTATATCAAGTGTATAAAATAAATTGTTAAAGTATATAAGGATTACTTTGATTTTTAAGGTGACAATTATAGGGACAATAAGTTTGCTCGCAGATTTTAATTAACTATTAATTAAATCTTCATACTTAACGTATGAAATGATATATAGTTTCTTTTTCACAAAATCAACTAAGCATTACAAAGAACTCGACTCTGAATGAAATACGTGTCATAAATTTAATAAACGAAATAGAGCTCACAAAGCCAAGAATTTGTTCCCGAAAACCGTACATTCCCGTTCAAAAGTAGTAAGATAATCGAAAATGAACTAAATGTATCATATTTAGGGGATACTGCAGATCGATCGACAAACACTAATGCCAATACAAAACAACAAAAGTGGCCCAAAATATAATTGTACGAGACATTACATTTTCTTCGTACGTGCCTCGGTGCCTGGTGTCTTAATACTTATTAACGGCAGTGTATTAATTTCGAAGATTTTTATAACAGAATATAATTAGAAAATCATTCGTACACTATCAAATATCCCTTTTAAATATCAAGATGGCCTTGTCTGCGCTGTAGAAGCTTTCAGCTAATTGCAACAATAACCGTTCAAACTAAATCCATCAGATAATGCAGCAACAATTTCAATTTCTCCCCGATACAAACGATTCGAATTCTCAAATAAACCGTCCACTACACGCACTTCGCGAAACACTGTTCGTCGCAGCGAATCACCGAAGGCGCTTCCGCCAGGGTGCGGCGCAAAGGGTTGATCCACGTAACACACCAAAAGGATCGTTCAATCACGAGAACAAATCATCGACAAGAAAAAAAAACAGAAAGAAACGTAACAGTAAAAGAAACGAAACAGGAAAATCTATTCGATGATTTGCTACGAAGACCGGAAATCGATTCCTCCACATCGTGTCACCTTCCTCCGACACAGGAAACAGTGCAGATGTAAAACGAACTAAACTCGATTCACCCCTTGCCATACGATTTCTTTTACGACTTCACTCCCAAGAATTGGAAACAATGGAACACAAATGGAATTCTATTCTTACGGCGAGTGTTACATTTATTCGAAACCTTAAATGTTAATACCAACGAAACAATACTTCACGTCGAGACAAAGAAAACGAATAATATATATGTTTACTTACTTCCGTTTAACCCTCAACAGTCACACAGGGTCTGCTCGACCCCGAGACAACTTGAGGCTAAATTTTACAAACATCCCTAAAATTTTATCAATGAATATTAACCCTTTGCACTCAGAGCAATTTTTAATATGACCTACCAGCAACTCCGAGTCATTTTTACTATGAGCAACTAGCTACTCCTGGACTATATAATTTTAACACACAATTATACATGCAATGTAACAGTAGAGGCCCCCATGGAAAAGTGAAGAATATTTCAATTTTTAAATGTATAAAAATACAAAGATACTTTCATATAGATTTCGCCGCAGCGATGACATCGGAGTGCAAAGTTAAAAATCTAAAAAGTTACGATTCTTTTTAAGTAACAACACTCATTTTGCACTGCTTCTTTAACTACACTCAAATTGAAATTAACACCTATAAAACATTTCATTCTTATTTTGCACTATTTAAATATTGTTCAATAATTTTTTCAACCTAAACTAATTAATCGTTTGGATATGGTAACCGTTTAAAGTCTACTATGACCCCAGTGACCGTTATGAAGCTCCAGTGAAGTGTGACCGTTAAGGGTTAAAATCGTTATCACGTGACTGACTCGATTTTGTAAGGCAAGTGGTTAAGAAACCTGTGGTGGAGGTATCAGAGATTTGTTTCCACGGGGGACAGAGAAAAAGACACACGGTTCCAGTACTCACGATTTCCAGGAGGAAACGAGCAGGATATCTGGCCGCAGGAGCGGTCGCCGCTGACTAAGAGGAACTACGCCCGCCAAGAGATGCATTATCGATCTAGTCTAGAGCCCTACTCCACCCCTCCCCCTGGTGCGCCCCACCCTTGCCCGGCCCTGCGCCACCACCCACCTGTACCACACCGTATAGCAACAGTCGCACCTCATCTCCGACAGGAACGCCACTCTTGCGATTGGTCCTGGCCCCCTGTGCAGAAGGTGACTCACCCTTGCGCTGGCCGCTATGTCGTCACAGGGAATTTCGCCTTTAATCGTCCCCGCCGTTGTCACGTTGGGTCAAATTGACCCAGAATTTGACATTAAAATGTCTTTGAAACGTAATTGGAAAAAGGGTATTGCTGGTTGTCGTTATGTAGTAGTAACTTCAGGTTTTTAGAATTTTGTTTTCTTTTCTTTCAATAATTTTTTAAACCTTAACGATCACATTTCACTAAAGCTTCGTAGCTAGACAATGGATGTTTATGCATTTATACCGTCCCCTGACTTGCATTCAAATATAAGATATTTTAATTCAAAGAATACGTGCCGCGAAAAGTTTACGCACAAATCGTTAAAAAATCAGGTTTTAAACTTTAAAAATTTGTTGTTTACGATTCCTTGTTTCTTAATGATCAAGGATTACATTGAGACTGTTAAAAATGTCAAAATTCAAAATTGAAATTTTCGTGCATGTCGTAGTTCTACACAGTTCGTCCCACTGTGCGCCGCGCCGTCTCCCTGGGCGATTGACCCGCGATTGACTCACGAAGGGCGTACTCCTGCGCTCTCGGTGGTTTTAGCAGCGAAAAATAGTTGGCG